ATTATATTTTTATTTAGTAGGAATATTACTAAGGTTTATTTATGCACACAATCATTTTATACCATTATACCATGTATTTTATAGATATAAATATTATAAGTAACTTTGCAATGGGGAAACCAAAATTTATTATAAAAGTGAGAAAAGAATCTTTTGTTGCTTGAAAACCAAACTCAAAGGCAGATGCAAAAGTCCAGAGGAAAAAAATAAATATGAAAGAACTTCAGATTCAACAAGCTGTGTCTTGGTGCATAGAGTACAACAAAAGAGGCTGGGCTACTTTGCAAACTTGTATGTTCTTTTATCAAAGATAGAGGAACCATTGGTTCTATCTTTTGAATCTATCTTTTAGATTCGTTGGCTGAGGAACTTATTAAATGTGACACTTTTTTTTTATTTTACACCTCAGGTGAAATTGTTGTTTCACAAGTTATTTTTGCTGGTAAAGGTATCACTAGTCATATCGCCCCAAAAACAGCTGTCAAAAATATAAAAAAATTTAATTATATCATCTACTAAAAAAGGAAGCCAGGATAACCATTCTTTATTAGACCTACGCAAAAAGTTTGAAAATATACAACGACCTGTTGTAATGATAGCAGATGGACACAGTTCAAGATTTGACTACAATGTTCTAAATTTCCTGCATGAAAAAAAAATTAACTTGTTTATTAGTCCTCCTGATACAACTGGGGGGTTACTCAACTGTTGGATCAAAGTCCTAATCAAAACATGCAACGTAATAATGACAAAAAAATATGAACTTTTTACAACTTTCCAAACAATAAACCGAGAAGGCTTCATGACAATTTAAGGAGGAATGTGGGATAAATGGACTTCAAAGAATACCGTAATGCTGCAAAGAGAGTTGACATATCTAAAGAATTTTTAAATGTAAATAATATGCAGCAAGATAAATTTCAACAGGCTGCAAACAGGTTCAAAACAAAGAGCAAGAGCCTTCTAGCAATCTTGTTCCAAGTACACTAAAGAAAATATGCGCTCATCAACAAATGTTTTGTTAACACCAATTACTCCACATTCATTTCCCGAATTAGCAAAAACAAATCATCGTTATGGATCAGCTAATTATTTGAAATTTATGTTTGAGCATTTGGCAGATGATTATGAAAGAAAGTTATAAAAAAAAGTTTAAATCTAGAAGATATACCAGGTTTGCTTACAGTAAACAAGGTAAAGTCAAAAGACATGCATAAAACGAAAAATATACGTGTTACAAAACATACATAGGTCAATGGGAGCCCAAAATATCATTGAACAGGTTGAGTTGATTGAAACTGGAAAAAGGAAAAAAAGGATCAAAAAAAGCAAAAAAAAAAAGCAAAAAAAAAAAACAAAAAAAAGATAAAGAAAAAGAACAATTTTATAAATGTAAATTAAAATGTGTTTGCAATGGCATTTGTGCAGTAAAGGGTTTTAAAGAGTGCTTAGTCTACCACGAAATAAAAAAATCAGTATGCAGCAAAATTTCTTGTAGAGTTAATGGAATGAAGCCAATAATGGTTAACGAGCCACATCAACCATAACAAATGCTAAATATAAAGGCAATTTAAATGACGTGGAATACGATAACATCAATTAGGAAAATGTTTTATGTTGTTTTGAAATTTAACTTATTAATTCTGAAAAGAAATTTTGATTTTCTGTCTCAATTTTTTTATTATTCTTAGTGCTTAAAAACTACAAGCGTCTCTACTACTAGTAAAAAGCTCATTTTATCAACTAGAGAAGGATATTCTGAAAAGTTTTTTTTATTTTTATTTGTAGCAACAATATAGTTATCTAAAAAAAAAAGGAATTGCAAACTTATTTTCAAATTGGTGCTTACCCATGCCAAAAAGAGTATTTTTTTAGTTTATTTAAAATGATAAAATTAATTTATTTCTCATTTTTAAATTGTTTTTATCGCATATTTTTATAAGAAAAGTCAAACTTTTTTCATATAAGAAAATAGTCAAACTTTTTTTGGAGAGAGTATATATATGGAGGCTCAAAACAAATAATATTATGCGCTAAAGCTGATACAGTGCTTGACAAGAACATAAATTATGACTTTGTAGTTTTTAATGTGTTCGTGTTTTTGAGGTGCCTAACTGTATATACCAAGTTTTTAGAATATAACTACAATAAATCTAAATCCGAGGACCGAAGTTGTTAAAAGTTAACAAAAGTTGTTGTTGAAATTTCTAAAAACATCAAAACAGTAGAAATTTGTTACGCATTTGTCACGATTTATTCACGTTCAGGGCCGGCGCGAACACGCTTTTTTTATTTTTATTTTATTTTATTTTTTTGGGGGGAGGGGGGGGCGCAAAAATAAGCATTATTTTAACAATATTAAAATTCTTATTTAAAAAAAAAATGACATCTTTTGAAGAATTTTTTTCAACGGGTTTAGAAATATCCTAGTAAATATTGATTCTCCCTTGTTTTACTGACGCCCACCTTTAAACAACCTTTTTTAAATCAATTTTGTCCAATATATTTTTTTTAGTAATAAGAAGCATCATATTTTGAAGTCAATCAGCGTGCATTGTGGATATTAAATAGTTTTTTATCAGTTTTAGTTTGCTAAATGATTGTTCATTTGATGATGTACTCATGGGTGCTGTTAACATTAATCTAAATATTTTATCTATAGTTGGTAGGACTTTCTTGTGCATTTCTGATACATTAAAAATATCTGATATAACTGAAATGTCTTTACAACGATGAACCAGCACTAGAAACTCAGAATAAACTCCTTCACAATCAGTTATCTTAGATGCATCAAAGCCCATCTACTAAGAATTTGGTAGATAATGGTGCTTTTAATAAATTAAACAACGATTCAATAGTTGATATACATTTTTTTAAATGCTCAGAATACAAAAAGGCTAGAGTATCTTAAACCTTTTTGAACTCTGATCTATAAAATATAAAAAATTAAATTTTGTCTCAGAATTTGGATTATAATCTATGTTTTCTGGCAATAGTCTTCTTCTATGATCTCGTTTATAATCAGATTCAGGATCAATACCTAATTGAAGTGCATAACTTATTGAACTTTCAACTAAATTATCCATTGCTAGATTTTCCTTATTAATACCGTTAAAAATCTGAGTGGGGAACTGTTTAGCAACATAAGAGCATCGACTATGTTAAGATCTTCAAAACTTTCAGTAAAAACTTTCATTTTATACATGATAATTTTTAGATAAAATACAAGAATACTATAAAGTCAAATGTCAGCATTTTTTTAGATAAAATACAAGGATACTATAAAGTCAAACGTCAGCATTTTTTTAGATAAAATACAAGGATACTATAAAGTCAAATGTCAGCATTTTTTTAGATAAAATACAAGGATACTATAAAGTCAAATGTCAGCATTTTTTTAGATAAAATACAAGGATACTATAAAGTCAAATGTCAGCATTTTTTTAGATAAAATACAAGGATACTATAAAGTCAAATGTCAGCATTTTTTTAGATAAAATACAAAGATACTATAAAGTCAAATGTCAGCATTTTTTTAGATAAAATACAAGGATACTATAAAGTCAAATGTCAGCATTTTTTTAGATAAAATACAAGGATACTATAAAGTCAAATGTCAGCATTTTTTTAGATAAAATACAAGGATACTATAAAGTCAAATGTCAGCATTTTTTTAGATAAAATACAAGGATACTATAAAGTCAAATGTCAGCATTTTTTTAGATAAAATACAAAGATACTATAAAGTCAAATGTCAGCATTTTTTTAGATAAAATACAAGGATACTATAAAGTCAAATGTCAGCATTTTTTTAGATAAAATACAAGGATACTATAAAGTCAAATGTCAGCATTTTTTTAGATAAAATACAAGAATACTATAAAGTCAAATGTCAGCATTTTTTTAGATAAAATACAAGAATACTATAAAGTCAAATGTCAGCATTTTTTTAGATAAAATACAAGGATACTATAAAGTCAAATGTCAGCATTTTTTTAGATAAAATACAAGAATACTATAAAGTCAAATGTCAGCATTTTTTTAGATAAAATACAAGGATACTATAAAGTCAAATGTCAGCATTTTTTTAGATAAAATACAAGGATACTTTAAAGTCAAATGTCAGCATTTTTTTAGATAAAATACAAGAATACTATAAAGTCAAATGTCAGCATTTTTTTAGATAAAATACAAGAATACTATAAAGTCAAATGTCAGCATTTTTTTAGATAAAATACAAGAATACTATAAAGTCAAATGTCAGCATTTTTTTAGATAAAATACAAGGATACTATAAAGTCAAATGTCAGCATTTTTTTAGATAAAATACAAGGATACTATAAAGTCAAATGTCAGCATTTTTTTAGATAAAATACAAGGATACTTTAAAGTCAAATGTCAGCATTTTTTTAGATAAAATACAAGGATACTATAAAGTCAAATGTCAGCATTTTTTTAGATAAAATACAAGGATACTATAAAGTCAAATGTCAGCATTTTTTTAGATAAAATACAAGGATACTATAAAGTCAAATGTCAGCATTTTTTTAGATAAAATACAAGGATACTATAAAGTCAAATGTCAGCATTTTTTTAGATAAAATACAAGGATACTATAAAGTCAAATGTCAGCATTTTTTTAGATAAAATACAAGAATACTATAAAGTCAAATGTCAGCATTTTTTTAGATAAAATACAAGAATACTATAAAGTCAAATGTCAGCATTTTTATAGATAAAATACAAGGATACTATAAATTCAAATGTCAGCATTTTTTTAGATAAAATACAAGAATACTATAAATTCAAATGTCAGCATTTTTTTAGATAAAATACAAGGATACTATAAAGTCAAATGTCAGCATTTTTTTAGATAAAATACAAGGATACTATAAAGTCAAATGTCAGCATTTTTTTAGATAAAATACAAGGATACTATAAAGTCAAATGTCAGCATTTTTTAGATAAAATACAAGGATACTATAAAGTCAAATGTCAGCATTTTTTTAGATAAAATACAAGGATACTATAAAGTCAAATGTCAGCATTTTTTTAGATAAAATACAAGAATACTATAAAGTCAAATGTCAGCATTTTTTTAGATAAAATACAAGGATACTATAAAGTCAAATGTCAGCATTTTTTTAGATAAAATACAAGGATACTATAAAGTCAAATGTCAGCATTTTTTTAGATAAAATACAAGGATACTATAAAGTCAAATGTCAGCATTTTTTTAGATAAAATACAAGGATACTATAAAGTCAAATGTCAGCATTTTTTTAGATAATCTGAAGGCTTGAGCTCTAGTACTTTTATCTAAATTGAGATCAGTTGACATATCTAATAGAGTATTTATAACTAATTTTAATGGAACCCATACAGATTTTATCGATTCAGCTCAAGCTGTCCATCTTGTTTTAGATTAATTACGGAGCTGTAAAGAATTTTCAATCAATTCTAAAATTTTTGTAAATGTCCATGTCTCTTTGTACTGGAAGAGAAAAAAACATACAATTATTCCAACACAGAAAGCAAATCTCCATCTATAACACTGGTATTATAGCTATGCTCAAGGAATGTATTAATTCTATGGGCCTGGCAAGGTATAATTAGAGTTGAGCGACCAAGATGATCAGATAATTTTTGTTGTGTTCCATCTATTTTACCAGACATACTACTAGCAAAATCAGTCCACAAACTCATTTTGTGATTCATGAGAAAGATAAGTGATATTGTATTTTCGAAATGCTTTCTTGTCAAACCATTTTTTTACTACAAAATTATGTCTTGATAATAATAAAAGAATTTGTTTTTCATCCCCCCTAAAAGCTAAGCCCTGCCTGCCAAGGGTAAGAGGTACATCAAACAATATAGTTATTACTTCTTTGTGAAATTGTTGATGGTGTGTATCTTGAATTTCTTTTTCTCTGTTATGCCTATTTATAATGCAGTCAATATGGTTAGAACTATTTAAAAAATTGCTAAAATTAAGTAACGCTAATTTATGCGTATTTGACGAAAAGTGCTGAAGAGGCTTACCAGGTTTCTTGGAACCTCTACCTTACATATATTTATGCCAAGCACGAACACCTGTTTCTGTCCAAGCAGGCTCAAGATAAGTTTTGTTTTGACCATTTGGAAACAAAGAGCAAATAAAACAAAAAGCAGCATTTTTGATTAAACTATATTCTAAGTGTTACTCTTTATACCACAAGGAACTAAACTGACGTTGCTTTCCATGCGGAATATCTGTGTTATTCGGAAATTTAGCTAATATAGGTTGATTTGGACCCGAACCTAATAGATACTTCCTTTGATATGAAGATTTTGCAATAGTTCATTTACCAGGATCATGCTCAAGAAAAATATTTTTCAGATTCTTCTTTTATTGAAGATATGAGAAGTAGAAAGTAAAAATGAAATTGGATTTGGATAACTTTCTGTTTTAAGTTTTGTAAAAAGTAAGCTACATTCCTGGAAATTATTTATAAGTGATTCAAGCATTCCAGCGCAAGCAACCCAATTATAAGCACAATTGTCACCTGCAACCATAAAAAAATAACTATTTAAATAAAAAAAAATACAAACTATATTTCATTTAATATTAATTAAACTGCCCAACATATACACGATACAACAGTATATATGAGAAATACTAGAATAAAGTATATTATATTATTATTATTATTTTTTAACATTTTACATGCTGCATTTTGCAATTTGTTGGCATTTTTTCATTATTTTATGGAATACTATATCAAAGCCAAGTTTTTAAGTTCTTAAATGATAAGAAGCTTACCCGATTTATCATTAATAACATAACATACATACATAACATATATCTTACCTGAGTTATCATTAATAATCTCAAAATATGTAGCTTCTTTAACAACATTATCAACAGTTCGAATACTTTTAATGGTGTTTACACCTGCCATGATTGGCTCAACAGAGTTCTAAATATGTTTAAAAATATTTTTTTAGTAAGATATCGTTGATATGATATCAAAATAAAATTTTATTATTATATATTGTAAAATGTTTATATACTGTACACATAACTCTCTCTTACATTTAAATTCACTAAATGGTCTTTTGTAGTTGAAAAGGTTGATTTTAGGGCTGTTGGTAGTAAATTTATATTGGTATCTGAAGCAACAGTGTTCCTTATTTTCTAAATAAAAGAAACACAAAAATAACAACCTTTATAAATGTCGGATCACGTTGTTTTTTGGTAAAACAATCATTAAAATTAATAGATTTTGATTCAAGCAATAAAAATATTATGCGGATCACTTGGTATAAATTGGTGGATCATTTGATATAAAAGGCGGATCACGTTCTTTTTTGGTAGAACAATCATTAAAACTTATAGAGTTTGATTCAAACAATTAAAATATTAGGCGGATCACTTTATAAAATTTCGCATATCGCATTGTTATTTGGTAGAAAAATTATTAAAATTTATAGAGTTTGATCCAAATAAGAAAAATATTATGCAGATCACTTGATATAATTGTGCGAATCACTTAATATAAATTCGTGGATCACGTTGTTTTTTGAGTTTATAAACTTTATAATATTATAAAATTATATAATATTTTTTGTCGTTCAATAAAATATTTGTATGCAAATACTTTCTAAATCTTATATCTTTAATGAAATTAAACTATATCTGAATCGTTTCTTGTTTTTTTTTTCATTTAATAAAGTATGACTCGCTTTATCAAATGTTAGTAACGTTTAAATGATCCGCCCTGCCGTTATTTTTTGACGAGTAATTAAGTATGTAAGATGCGAAAAGCATTCTAGAAATCCGGCCCGTAAAATACGGGTCTTTGTAAATCTATTCCACACCGACCTTTTCTATACATATTCCTTACTTCAATATTTTTTAGTTGGCGGCAGAAAAATAAGTATATCCATATACAAAAACTCATTATTTATTTTTTAAAGCTTTGAACTAAAAAAAGTTTAATTAACTTTAAAAAATTTCAGACCTTTCAGTAGCCGTTACACGAATCGCTACTTATCAACTAATTAAATATAGTAACTGTCTAAATAACATTCAGAATACCTGATTAAATGTCTTTATTAGTTACCCTAGGTATAAAAATTTAAAAAAACATGAGATGACTTTTTATTTTTTATTTTTTTTTATTTGCCGTTTCATATATTTACAGTAAAGACATATTACATTTATACAAATTTGCCGGAGCAAGAAGAAGACAATGACTGTCTTACAACCGAGCCCCGTTTACAAATTGTCCGTGTTTATAAACAAATATACATAAAATATACAAACTTAAATATATGGAATAGCGGACTTACCATGACCCGTATTCTGGTCATTCTATGTAAATTCCACTTCAACCATTTTAATAATTTCGCTTTATTTTAATAATTTTAATAATTAGAGTAAAATATAAAAAACTTTGTTTTGAGTTAAAGATTTATGGTTAATACTTTATTTAATACTTATTATAATACTTTAACTTCTACAAAAACAAAGAACAAAAAAAAAGCGGGAAGGGGCTTGATTATTTTTTTCTTTAATAGGTTTCTATTATCTTTTTTTCAGACCATCTGCAGCTTATTAGGTCTCTTGCTCCGTTAACTTTGAAGTAAGTTAATCTTTATTAAGTGATTAAAGTTTGTTAAGTGATTAACATTTAAACCATGATTAAAGTGGCGATGACGTTTGTCTGACAAGATAAACTAGTTATAAATGCTGATCCTCATCGAAACGCCAGTAATAATAGACACGACTCTGAGTAGATGTTTATTACTTATTCACTACACTAATTACGTTTATACATTAGCATTAATGTTTTTTTTACATTATTAGGCTTTTCATTGTTGTTAGCATATTTTTTATTTTGTGATCGGTTTTTTGTTTGATAAGTTTTTGTCTGGTGATGTATTTGTTGAATTTCTTCGTTCATATTGGTGTTTATAAAATATTTTTTTTTAATTTTTTTTTTATTTTTATTTTTTTATTTTTATTTTTTTATTTTTATTTTTTTATTTTTTATTGTTATTATTGTTGAGTATTGTTTTGGGTGTATAGCCTGTCTTATTTATTTTTAAATATTCCTCTATTAATCTTTATTTTTGTCTTGACAATTGTCAAAATATGCTTTGTCTAATAAATAATTCTCCTTTATTCTAATGTACTACATTTCTTCCCGCAGGCGTTCGCTGCTCGTGTGTGCTCGGCGAATTTTATAAAAAAAAGCGGGAAGGGGCTTGATTATTTTTTTCTTTAATAGGTTTATATTATTTTTTTTCAGACCATCTGCAGCTTATTAGGTCTCTTGCTCCGTTAACTATGAAGAAAGTTAAAGTTGGCATATAAAATATGCCAACTTTAATGGCATATTTTATATGCCATATTTAATGGCATATAAACGCGTTAGCTAATTACTTTAAGCACATTAACAACGTAAGTTGTTTATCATAAACAATAATTACTTAATTATAAGCACATAAACTTTATGTGCTTATAAATATCTCTATCATGACATGAGCAAAAATTTTCAAATGGTGTTTTCATGTTTTTAGAAATTTTAAAACGCTTTTTGAAAAACTCTTTCCCTTTCGTTTGTTAGAGTATGTAATTTTTTTTTATATGTTTTGCATATAATACCCATAGTATTTTTTAAATGTTTTATTTTTTATTCTAGAAAATTAAAAAAAATTAAAAAAAAATATATTTTTAGCAAAAGGATTTTAAGCCACACGAATCACTTCAACCACTTTAGCATGCTTTATCATCTTTTAAAATTATTTATAAACCAAAGACTTATTAAACTTTATAAAACATTTATAGCATATAAATGGTATAAATAAAAATTAAAAAGATATTGCTTAAATGAAATTTTTAAGTAAAGGTAAATCTGTAAAATTTGATATAATTTAAATAACTTGAAGTTAACAGGTTATTTGCATTGGCTTTCGTTCACATAGATAAAATACAAAAGATAAAATACAAATCATTTCGGATAGTGGTTTAAAAAAAATGCCTGATAGCTTTGTAAAAAAAAAAAGATATTTTTAGTTACATATTTATTAACAATTTAAAAAAACATAAAAATTTTCAATAGTTTTCAATTGTATGACTATATTGAACAAACACGTCATCTAATTAATCTAGAAAAGTTATTAGAATTAAATCAAGGTAAAAATGCATTACATTTATAAACTGCAAATCAATTTATTTATGCATAATAACAAAATATTTGAAAAAAAGTTTTATTTACAAAAAATATCCTAACTACGCCTGCACAGAGGCAATTTTACGCCGGGTAGGTGTTACACCCTCCCCTCCGAAGTAGGTGATTTTCAAGTTATAGTCGGGTTTTTATACGGATTTAGTCGGCAATTTTGACTTTTTTTTTTAAGACGCTTGTCAGTACTTTTAAAAGTCTCAACCCCCCCCCCTCATTTTATTTGTAAAATCGTCTCTGCTTCTGCATCATCAATTAACAATTGGTAGATTAACCAATTACAAAAATACTAATTATTGTCAACTTTAGCTTCAATAAAACTAACATCCTGCGATGATACAGTTTTAATAAACCTATAAAATATAACATGTTTCATTAAGTAACATTTGAAGTAATTAAACTTTAGAAACTTTGAAACCGATTAAAAAACTAAAAAATACATACTATTTACATGTTCAATAATCGTTTCGTTTATGATAATGATAATAGAAGATTCAAAGACATTTCAGAAATTTATAAAAGTAAAATAGAAAATACAAAAAACTAACAGCGTGTAAATCTGCGTATCATATCTACAGCGTATTTATACATTATATTTATACATTATATCTACATATTTATACATTAAATCTAAAATGGTTAACATTTATACATTATAACTACAATGCCTTGTGCCTTATCCTTTGAAAGCGTCCGAGTCCTTCCAATATTATACAGAGTATAACATTATTTTGATACACACACGTTTTAGAATGATTAACGGAGTGTGGTAAAATAGCTGTAAAACTTTAAATTTCCTTATTACCTTAATATTGTGTATTTTAACTTATTACTTTATTTAATTAAAAATTGTAATGTTAATAAAATGGTTTATTTCAAATATAAAGTTGAAATTTTGAATTATGTTTTTAATAAAAACTTATTTTTTAAACCCCCTAATATTAATTATAACTGCCGCGTGGCAAATTTAAATCATAGGCTTGCATTTGTTTTTTAATACTTTTTATTTAAAATGCAAAACAAATTTTTTCAAACCAAATTTTTTTCTTCAAAAGCGTTTTACTTTGTATTTTAGAAAGAAAAAAAAGAAGATAAAATTAAAAAAAAAAAAAAAAAAAAAAGGATGGTAAGTATCGAACTTGGACCTCCAGCTTTAGCTAACCACTCGGCTACGCAGATTTATTCACTCATGAAGATTTAAAAAGTATATGACATATTATAGACTTTATCAAATGAAATTAAGTGCTACAGATCATATCTGAAGGCGATGTTGCCACAATGCAATTTTCAAGTGAAAGTAAAACTGGAAAACATGATATATGTTTTAGTATGCTTTTAACATTACGTAATTTGAAGAAAGTTGGATATTTACGTAAGTTAGATAATAGCATACACTTTTGTTGACTTTTCTTATATAAAAAAGTGCTGCTACTCTTTCTCACTATTACTTCGATTACAATGGCTGCCAAGAGTATCATGTCAAACACTCTCCAATTAGTATTGAATTCGCTATTATATAATATATCATAATAATATAATGATGCAATGGTTTTATGTGAATATTTAATTGTTGGTCATGCGTGGTAATATGTTTTTATCAAATAGTAACTCAATAGAAAGTTTGTGAAATATGATTTTATACTATAATACAAATGTATTTATACAATTTATATATAAATCAAGATATTAGAATAAAATTTGTGATCATAATATCAAAGTGAATCGCGATTGTTAAGATATTTTGATAATAAAGAAAACTAAATCATAACATGTTTGCTGTAGTTGGTTTGTTTGTTTATAAGTAATTTGGTGAGGATGGCTAAGGAATTATTTCTAAAACCAAAATTTTGAAAGTAACATGCATTAAATATCTGGTAAAGTTATAATAAGTTATAAGCACATTTTTGAGTTTTATTCTTTTTTTTATCTTGGTGCTTCTATTATAATAAAAAAACTTTATGCAAACAGCAACAACAAACAACAGCAAACAACAACAACAACAACAAACAACAACAGCAGCAACAACAAGATATTTATTTTCCTCAAAATTTACAATTTTATAATTACAATAATATAATAATAACAATAAAATAAAATAAAAATAATAACAATAACGATACCTATAATATCATAAATAATAAAATCATAACATTATATTATCCAGATTTATACAATTTTAATTGCTATCTCTAAAGCTATGGTTGTGGTTTATATTTTAGCCAATTTAAAAATCAACCAAATAAACACAGGGTATATACAAATGCAACTACCATAGTGAATTCTGATGTATTTTTGCAGAACATATAATTACAAAAAGTTTTTGTGTACAAGAAAAGAAAACTAAAGATTTTCAAATTAAAGAAGAATATGCATCATGTTTTTGATTATATTTTTGTGTATCTTTTTACGTAACATGGTTTGATCAATTTTGACAATGTTCTCCATCTAGATTGGCAGAAAAAAAAATTATAAAAAGTATACAGTTTTTTATAGCAAGTTAAGTTAACAAATCTACTTTTAATGAAGCTTAAAATAAAAAAATTGCAAAATAGTGTATGAATAAATTTATATTCTGTTGTTGTACATTTACTATAAACAAGTATATTATTTCAGAAATGGAAACTTAGTCATGGATTAAAGTTCTATTGTCCAACGCCGATCGCAATTGTGATAAAGTGATTTAAGATAATTTAAAGAGTTGGCAATAAGGTCAAGCAAATACCTGAAAATGATCAAATTTTTGTTTAATATAGATTGCTGTTCCAAATACAAGTTGCAGATATGATCCAATGTTTTATGTCAAGCAAGGTTCTGATTTTAAACTAAACAAACTAAATATCCGTTGATCTTCTGCTTTGTTTCGAAGTTCTATGAGTTCAGATAGATATGTAAAACATTTAGTTTCTCCTTTCAAATTAAATTTTCACAAATCTAATTTGAAAGGAGAACAACATACATTACTAAATAAGCTATGAATTGAATGCATATATTTAAATATAGGTCAGATCACTCACCCCTATACATACATATATATATATATATATATATATATATATATATATATATATATATATATATATATATATATATATATATATATATATATATATATATATATATATTTGTAAAAAAGTCTTTAAACATGATAAATAATAAGTAAAAACAAGTTTTGAACCAAAATGTCCTAAAAATAATAATATTCATAAGTATATTTAAAGGATTCCTGAGAAAGAATTATTTTTTCATTTTATGTTAGCGGTGAATGCATCGTCTACAATAAAAGTCAGAACTACTCGCATCTTCTGTAGATAGTTGTCAGCATTTTAAATAGCACCACTTATCGCAGAGCCCAGCTAACTCAAAACGTTCAAGAACGTTCATAGAGCGTAACTGAACGTACTTGAACGTTTTGTGATAGCTGGGAGGTTATACATAACGTTCAGATCGTAAACCTTAGAGTCATCTACATTTACACCATACATTATGCATAAAATTGGTTTGTCTACGTCATCACTCACTGTTGCTTTTTTCTTTTCTTTCCGTTCACCTGCAATGAAGACAATTTTCGGCTTATTTTTAGCCTAATTTTCTTCGGTGAGCCTAGCTATGCATTTATCTGAAATGAGGCTTTCGCCAAACTGCCCTTTTATGGCTTTTCCTTTCGTCTCCATTTGGCGATTCCCTAGTTTTTCAAGAAAAGGTGTGAGTTTTGAGGCCCATAACTAAAATTGTCTTATTTGGTTGAAATTATGATAAATTAAATATTTAATACTAAATACAGATGTTATTATTACTGCTGTTATTGCTGTTTTAAAGTACATATATGGAACTTAGATTGAAGATGATTTTGGACTTCTAAAAAAAGTTTCGTAAACAAATTTCTAAATCAGTATGGATACAGAAACCATATACTTAGAGAGAAACAGAAAGTTAGCAACCAAAAACATGAAATAAAAGTGGCTCAAGTTTTTTTAGTTTATTTGTATTGTTCCTTATCTTTTTAGGGGGCGAAATACTCCGGGGAAAGAATTACCCCAGTCGACCCTATAATTATTTGAAATAAATTTATATCATTTGCGTGTTTAATTGTGACATTATTTTTGCCAATGCATTGTTTAATTCGCTCAAGTTAGTACGTTAACTATTTCTAATTGCTAACATTATGTTACTAATAACACAGTTCAACTTTTTATCACATCCCATAAATTGTTTTTTTTTATATTGAAAGTATTTTGTAATTTTTAAAACTTTTAAATCATTCGCTGACATCTTTTAAAGAAATTTTTGTTGCAAGCCATAAAATTTTAATAAGGTAACAAAGTAGGCGCTTTTTATCCCTTAACTTAAATGGAACTAAGTTTCCAATTTCGGCAACCTGATCAAAATTATGAGAAATCAGTAGTGAAATATATTGATCTCTCGTATATGGTACCATATACGAGAGATCAATATATTTCACTACTGATTTCTCATGGACTGAATATATTTTATACGTATAAACGTTTATACGTATAAAATATATTCAGTCCATGGCAAAGTTACTAGTAATACCTACCATTACCTCAGATAAAAAAAATATATATATATATATATATATATATATATATATATATATATAATACAATTAAAATGGAGTTATATAGTTTACAAAAAGATAAATAACGAAAACAAAATAATGCAATATTAATGCAAAAAAAATAAATAAATAAATAAATAAATGCAAGAAATTTTGGATTTTTATGTGGGTCAATTCCTTTTAAATTTGCAAGTTAATTATAAAATCTTTTTAAAATAAAGCTCTAGAAATATTTTTAACTTGCAGACGACTGCTTCTGTGAATTTTTTTTCAACAAATGTTAACTTTTTTAAACCAAGTTTCTTTTTTTTTTCACAAAGTTGTTATTTGTATCAAAAATAATAAAGCTCTTTATTATTTTTGATACAAATTTCAACAATTTAAAAAATATTATAAAGACAAAAAAAAAAAAAAAAAAAAGGATAATGAATTAAAAAATCGTTGAGAAAGGACTTTAGAAACTGTAAATTGTATGAGCCAGTGAAACATATAAACAAGATTTCTATAGAAAACAAGTGTAGTTATTGCTTTGTCGGACCGAGGTTGTAAGGTGGCGAGGGAAGTGTTGGTATTTGTGGTTGGTTTAATACTAACGAATCAACTAACACACCTTTATTAAGAGTATATGAAAAGTAGCCATGTAAATCCAGGTAATGGATCGTCCATATTTCGTAAAGCGAAATTAACCTTATAGACAAAAGACAAAGCATTTAAAGTTTTCTCTCGCAGAGTTATTATTTAAACCAAGTATATAAATAACGTTTAAAGTCCAGCGAAAACCGCAGCGCAAAAAAGCAAAATGATCTACTTATATTTTTAAAATAAGTTTTGCGTTGCGTAATATATGGACGATCCCTAATTCACTTTTTAAAAAAATTGACTAACCACTGTTTTTATATAGCACTCCACAGGGCCGACGACACGGATTTGGTGCAGTGTGGGAGCACAACCGTCAATTCTTAAAAGAAAAAAGGTCCTTTAGAAAAAAAGTGTGTAAAGGATGGAGGATGGGGGGGGACGTCATGTGATAAAAATATTATTTAAGACAATTATATAATTCAATCAATATTCTGTTCTCAGTATCATTGAAATTATTGTATATTGATTGGTTTTGAGCGTGCAATATTGTGTTTTTTCCATTCAACAAATGGGTGTATTGAACGGCCGTTGATTTCAAGGGTCTTAGATATATCGATGCAGCGGACCTTGTTACTGCGGATGACGAATCAAAATGGGTTATTAAGATTACCATGTTTTTCAAGATCACTGTTTGCTGTTTTTCTTTTAATCTCAAGCTTATTAAATTCAGCTTGTTCCGCAATCGTTCGATCAGGTCTGATAAAAACATTTTTGTGTTCAGTTTAGGAAAGATTGAAATGAATTTTGTATTTTTTTATATACTTAACACAAACTGTCGACTAAAGTAACCAGTTTTTAATAAAACCGACTACAGTTGAATTGATTTTAGTTGAATTGACCATGTCACATCCCAAGTAGCAAAAAATATTGGCGCATTATTGGGGCGATATTGTTTACAATATTGGCGCAATATTATAAACTATATCGGGCTAATATCGCAATGAGAACATTTTGCCAATATTGGCCAATCTTGGCGTTACAATATTGCGCCAATATTGGCGATACAATATTGCGCCAATACTGTAAAGTCAATATTGGCAAAATGTTCCCATTGCATTATTGGCGCGATAATGCTTAAAATATTGCGCCAATATTGTTAATAATATCGCGCCAATAATGTATGTATATATATATATATATATATATATATATATATATATATATATATATATACATATATATATATATATATATATATATATATATATATATATATATATATATATATATATATATATATATATATATATATATATATATATATATATACTATATATATATATATATATATATATATATATATATATATATATATATATATATATATATATATATATATATATATATATATATATATATATATATATATATATATATATATATATATATATATATATATATATATGTATATATATAAACTACTGTATTATACTCTCACTGAGATAGTGGGCATCGACTTTCATTATATTGGCAATACTTATTTCATTGCTCAATATTGGGCGTTGCTCAGTTACGGTTCTATTTTTCTTCCATAATCTCTATTAATGGCCGTCGCCAGAAAGCTGCCAATTTTTTCTTTAATACTTTTGTCAGTAGCGATTTCGAAATGAACGAATACAACGATAAATAACTAAACGCTAAAAAAAAATGTTTTTTATAAATATCATCACAATATAATTTGAAATATATATATTTTTTTATAAATATTGTAAAACAATTACCTTTTATCAAAATATTTATTTATTAAAAGGAAATGGGATGTAGAATACAAATATTATGCTTTACCTATAACGACCTTGCAGGACGTTTTTGTTTTCTTTCATACAATGAGTATGAAAAACATACTTCTTTGGTCATTAGCTGTATTAAGATTGCCGCTGTAAGTTGTTTCTCATCTCCTCTAACCGAAGTAAGAAAGTTCATCTAAAATAAAAAAACAAATGTAATATAATTGGATGTATAATGGTTTCTCATGTGTATGTATAAGACGGTTTTCCATAATGTGATTCTTATTAAAATATGACATTATGGAAGAGTAAAAGCAATTGGTTATAAATAGATTATGACACCTGTAGCGGTGAATACACCCTACAGATGTCATAGATATCTGAGATTAGTAGTCATTGCTACACAAAATACATTGCTAACTGGGCATAAAAGATAAAAATCACAATAAAATGTAATAAGCATTTATATAAAACATTCTGATATACAACATAATTATAGTCAATCACGTATCATATTGTATCATTTGTTTGTATGTTTCATATAAATGTATCATATATTTTAAAAAATTAGAAACTTTAATAGTACATGGTACTGTTTCCAAAAACTATTAACTAATATCAATTAACTGATATATATTATTGATTCATAAGGTGTCTTTGTTCCATAATTTTTCTTTGAGGTTTAGAAGATCTTTTTTCTATAAATTTAATATACCGAAAGAGATAGTCAAGCAAAGCTCTGATGGAATCACTTGACCCTAAAACACTAAAGAATTCTTCAATCTTTGAGAAACTGAGAGACAATCTCATGAGTGTCACTTTTTTTGTAACCTGCATCTTTTTAAACTGGAGGCACAGATAATTCCGTTCTAAAGCAGTCACATAACTGTCAAAAATAGTATAAAGAAGAAATGAAACCATACTAAACAATCAACATTTTTTATATTTGAGTCAAACACAGCTGTTTACATTAAAAAAAGACAATACTTTAAATAAAACAAAAACAATATTGTAAATAAGACAATTACCGAAAAATTCTTATTTTCAGCTGCTTTCAGTTACTTTTAAAATTGTGATGTGACGTATGGCAGCCTAAATGCAAGATGCTTGTAAGTGATTTGGCCAATACACCAAACTTTCATTGATCCGCCATGAAACACATTACATTCATGGCACACATATTGTTTTTTCATTGAAAAATTCAGCCAGAGCGAATTTTGTAAACTTTATTACCACCTTCAGTTTAACGGTACATCAGCTAAAAAATAATCACATATAAATTTATGGTATAAAAAAACTTCAGATTAACTTTTTTTTTCAGATTATTATTTTTTTTCAACTGAAAATATTAGTCTAAAAATTATTGAGTTTTATTTCTTAATGTTAAATGTAATCGCTTTTTATTTCAAGTAGAGTTTAAATATTGGTTAGTAAAAAAAAGTAAATTTTAAAGTTTGCTAGGTTTGGTATCTATAATAATATCTATAATAAGGTATCTATAATAATATTTTTTTAATTTAAATCTGATATTAAGGAAGATAAACAACTTGAGGCTCTAAGTAAATATTTACCCCGAGATTATGAGATTCAAATTAGCATGAGATTAAGATCTCATGCTCAATTGAATGAGTTAGCCAGGCATAGAATATTTTTCTCAGTTATGAAACATTGAAAAAAATAAACATAAAACTTATTTGGTGTTTATTTAATTTTAATTATTCGGTGTTTAATTATAAGAGTTTTGATATAACATACTGTTATTATTATTAATGTTGTTATTTTTATTATTTTCTAAGGTTATAATTTTATAAATAGAATAATTAGGTATATAAAAAAGCCTATCAACCTTTTGTTCTACTGAGTCTAATTGTTAATATGCAGTTGTACATTTGATGAACCCAATATGCATCTAGATGTTTTTTAAATGTCGAGACAGATGTTGAACACTATTTCAGATGGTAGACTATTCTACAAACTTGTGAATTGCATACTAGAAAAGTTTTTTCCGGACATCTGTCTTACAAAACATTTTTTTAAATTTATAAGCATGATCGCATGTTGTTAAGTTGGAGTTAGTCATAATTGAGGAATAAATACTACTAAATATATAATCATATATTAATATTAAGAAGTGGCCATATTAACACGTGTGCTATTACAACTCAGATTAACTACTTAATGGTTTGTAATTACAATAATAAATATAACGGCTGTGCAGATGACATCACTCTGACACAGGTGTTGATAGATAAAATACTGAATTGTATTTATAAGTTTCTGCCACGTCATTACGTAAGAAACGATAATTCATGCTAGTTAAATTTAGTTGTCATATAAATTTAGTTGACATATGTCAGGTCAGGTTTTCCTGCTACTGGTAACATGTAACCCAGTACAACCTGCTCCATGTCCTGCTGCCTTGTAGGATACGCTTTTTTAGGCAAAGGCTAGGAGAAGTTAACTCCGAATTAAAACACCCCCTGCCTTGGGGCTCTTGGTTGAGTAAAGGCTAGAGATGGTGTCTCGATAAAAATACTCATCTTGGGCAGATGTTACATGCATCCAGCTGCTGTCTTGTAGAAGGCCTCCTAGGCAAAGACTTTAGGGGTAAACAGATTCTATCTGTTGACCAGCCTCGCACCCCTTCCTCATCTATTAGGCTGGCGCAGATGTATTTTTAATACATTGTTTCCAGTTTAAGATGTTGAACGCTGGATCTTCTTGACTCAATGCGTGGGTATTGCTTGTGTCTCTATTTTTATGACTGGGCAACTCATTCTATTATCTCCTAATGAGGGTACAGCTCTAAAACTCAGTTTTATGGTTCTGAGGCCGGCTGGTAGTCAGGTTTCCCGAACTCTGTGGTAGCTCTCAGAGAGGCTGATTCCATCAACAGCCGAAAAATATCAGAGTACTAACAGTGCCATGTTGCGCATGGATGGTGTCCCTGTTTGTACTTTTGGTGTGCATTGCAGAGGCCACATTTGGAGCCCTTTGTTACGGCTTAGGGTTAATTAATAGTATTGAGGCTATTGCTTAGTTGTTAAATAGTGTACTGAGTACTATCTATACTTGAGTCAAGTTCGTTATAAATTTAAAATGACTAAAGTACCTAAAACTAAAAAACACAAAAAACCATCGTCATCACCAAGTTCTCTAAACCTATCATTTACTAATATTCGTGGTCTTCGAAGTAACTTTTCTTCTGTTGAGTCTTATCTCTTGCAAAGTTCACCAGACCTACTTGCTCTTTGTGAGACTAATTTGAGTTCGGCTGTCCCATCTTGTGATCTTAGTGTTGATGGTTATCTTCCTTTAATTCGTAAAGACTCCAATAATCACATGCTTGGCCTGGGCATCTACATTCGTAAGAACTCACCCATTTGTCGTGAAACTAGGTTTGAATCTACAGACTATTCATTTATGTGCTTTCGTTTAGCACAACTTCACTCTATCGCCTTTCTCTTTGTTCTATATCGCTCTCCTTCATCCCAAGATTGCACTATTCTTGATGTTATTTCTGATCAAATTGACCAAGCCCTCTCTCTTTATCCATCGGCCAATATCGTCGTTGTTGGTGACTTTAATGCCCATCACACCGATTGGCTTGGCTCTAGTGTCAGTGACTCTGCTGGCGTTAAGGCCCTCAACTTTTGCCTTTCTCAATCTCTAACTCAAATAGTCAACTTTCCAACTCGTTTTCCAGACAACCTTAATCATTTACCTTCTCTACTCGACTTATGTCTCGTTTTGGATCCTAGTCAGTGCTCAATTTCTCCACATTCACCCTTAGGTACTTCTGATCACGGTTTGATCTCTCTAAAACTATTATCAAATTCTTCTACTTCATCAGAATCCCCCTATCATCGTACCACATACAACTACCTTAAAGCTGACTGGGACACTTTCCGTAATTTTCTTCGTGATGGCCCTTGGGTAGAAATCTTTCGTCTTCCTGCTGACAAATGTGCTTCTTACATAACTTCGTGGATTCAGGCTGGCATGGAATCTTTTATTCCCTCTCGACGATTCCAGGTCAAGCCTCACTCTTCTCCTTGGTTTTCCTCACATTGCGCTGCAGCAATTTCTAATCGAAACCGTTACTTCCATATCTATCAGCAAAACAATTCTCCAGAAAACAGACATCTGTTCACTATCGCCAGAAACCATTGTAAAAAGGTTTTGTCTGACGCCAAAGCTCGCTATTCCCAGGTCATTAAATCTCATATCTCATCACAAAAATTAGGCTCTCGAGACTTCTGGAGAATCTTTAACAGTATCAATAATAAGGGCAAATCTGTTATTCCTTCTCTCTTGTATGGTTCAGACTTTGTCACCTCACCTAAAGACAAAGCTGAATTGTTTACTAAGAACTTTTCATCAATATCATCTCTTGATTCCACTAGTTGCGTTTTACCTGACATAGCCGTCAAACAGGTTGATCCCTTGCTTGACATTCGCATCACTTCAGCTTCTGTATCTAAAGTAATTTCCTGCTTAGACTCTTCAACAGCTTGTGGTCCTGACAACATTCCTGTTGTAGTCTTGCAGAGGTGTTCTCCGGAGCTTTCATCCATACTTTCTAAACTATTTAACAAGTGCTTATCAGAGTCTTGTTTTCCATCATGCTGGAAAGCAGCATCTGTTATCCCTATTTTCAAAAATTCCGGAGAGCGATCTGATTCATCTAACTACCGTCCTATTAGTCTTCTTCCTGTCATAAGCAAGGTTTTTGAATCTTTAATCAACAAACACTTAATCTCGCATCTTGAATCAAATAACTTACTTTCTGATCATCAATATGGATTTCGGTCTTCTCGTTCTACAGCTGATGTGCTAACAGTAATAACCGATAGGTTTTACCGTGCATTAGATAGAGGTGGAGAGGTTAAGGCTATCGCACTTGACATTTCTAAAACTTTTGATAAAGTTTGGCATGCTGGTCTTCTCCATAAGCTTTTTTCTTATGGTGTAGCTGGTAACGTCTTTAAGATTATTGAGACCTTTCTTTCCAATCGTAGTATAAAAGTTGTCCTCGATGGACAACACTCTTCTTCACATCCTGTAACTTCAGGGGTTCCTCAAGGTTCAATCCTTGGCCCTATACTCTTTTTAATTTACATTAACGATCTTCCAGATATTCTCACATCTAAGGTGGCATTATTCGCTGACGACACTACCATTTACTCTTGTCATGATAAGAAGCCTACACTCTCTGATTGCTTGGAGGGGCTATCTGAGCTTGAAAAGGATCTCACTTCTGCTACAGCATGGGGCTCACAGTGGCTGGTGAACTTTAATTCAGATAAAACTCAATTTTATTCGGCCAATCGTTATCGTAATAATTTAGATCTTCCTATATTTATGAATGGTAATGTACTAGATGAGTCATCTACCATTCATCTTCTAGGATTAACTCTTACTTCTGATCTTTCTTTTAAACCGTATATCAAATCCATTGCAAAATTAGCATCTGCTAAGGTTGCATCTCTTTATCGAGCTCGACACTTTCTTACTCCAGATTCTATTCTCTATCTCTATAAATCTCAAATCCGTCCCTGTATGGAATACTGTTGCCACATCTGGGGCGGATCTTCTAATGATGCTCTTTCTCTTTTAGACAAGGTGCAAAAACGAATTGTAAACATAGTTGGACCTGCTCTGGCAGCCAATCTTCAACCTTTGTCACATCGTCGTAATGTTGCTTCTCTTTCTCTTTTCTACAAATACTATAATGGGCACTGCTCTAAAGAGCTAGCGTCCCTTGTGCCATCTACTAAAATTCATTCTCGTGTTACTCGCCATTCAATTAAGTCTCATCCTTTTTTTGTGACGGTTCCTAAGTGCTTCAAAAACTCTTATTCTTCTAGTTTTTTTCCTCGAACATCAGTTCTTTGGAATTCGCTTCCTTCATCTTGCTTTCCTGATTCATATAATTTGCATTCTTTTAAGTCATCAGTCAATCGTTATCTTGCTCTACAGATTTAGTCTTTTCTCTTCCAGTAACTTCCAACTCTTATAGTGGTTGCTTGCAGCATTGTTGGAAGTGAAGATGTTAAAAAAAAAAAAAAAAAAAAAAAGTTTCAGTAGTCTTTGATTGTAAGTGAGTCCAGTCTGGCCAAAAACAAATTTATTAGACTTGGATTGAACACTTTAAATTGTTGATCTTTTTAAAGCCTAGGATAGTAGACAGAGCTTCAAGAATCAAGGTGAGGACAAACAAGGAAAATAAACAAAGTACGAAATGTCAAGATATTG